TGTGTTTATTTATTTAATCTGTATACATGAAAAGACAATTGCTTGTATCTGCACATGTATGCATATCTTTATCTTCAGCTTTTACTACTTCAGCTGTTACTACGTTTATTTATGTTTGTCCGTGCATTCGTATTTTTTGTGTTTATGTGTTTAGCTGTATCCATGGTGAGATGAATACTGTTGCTGCATCTGTATCTCCCTTATATATGTACACCACTTATATTTGTATACTTATGTCTATATTTGAATCTGCTTTCATGTTCCTGTCAGTTTCAGAATCTAGCGGCGACAATCGTTCAAAAGGGGGAGCAGGTCGTAAGAAGTTCAAGCAAGTTGAAGTGCCGCCTCTGGTTGTTCAAACATTTCCGAAGGCTCCTCATTTCAATTTCCTTGAACGCTTCCGGGCTCGTCACTTCAATTTACTTAAACCCGTCTCGAAGCTTTTCAATTCAACTTACTTAAATTATTCCGGTGTTCTTGCGCTAACAAAAGAACTGCTTCGCTGGCGCACCTCGGCTGCGCCGCTAAAGGCCGTTCAAAACAAGGTGCAGCCTCTAAAATTTAGGGTTTAGGGGTTTAGGGTTTAGGGTTTAGGGTTTAGGGTTTCGGTTAGCTGGTGCGCGTGTGTGTGGGTTGTTTAGAGGCAACACACACACACGCAACACGTTCGTGNNCCTTCTTTAATGGGGCTGCCCTAAGCTCTAACCGTGTAGAATTCGCAAAATGGGTTCGCTTGGTCCAAAGAGTTCCATATCGTTTCTGTTCGAGCGACTTCCCGACCAGAGTTCTGCACATTTAAGAAAGTTTTTGCCAAAGCACAGCAAGCCTTCATTAAGGAGGGTTACCTTAAGCTTCGACCGCATAAAGTCGGTTGGAAGCGCAAGAGCTTACAAGCCGGCTCGTACCGCCAGAGTTCAGCACATGGGAATGTTTGCATGCTTGCAGATGTTGACTATGTGCACACGCAGCGACTTCCTTTATATGAAGGGCAGTACCAACAGGAGCACTCCAGCAGCAGCTCGGTAGTTGTTCGTTTTGGCCACAGAGGTCAGTCACCGGTCCTGTAATGTACAGCAGCTCCTGCCTCTTGCAGAGCTGCAACACAACGTTGATGGGCAGCACTGCGCGCGCTGCGCAAAAGCACATAGAACATCTTGCGAGCAAGCAGCCAGCAATCAAATCTGCAGAGGCTTAATCGGTTTTGGACGGGGTTGCATCCCCACCTCTAGAAGCCGGCCGCCGGCAGCCCGGGCAATTTCGCACACGCGGCTGGCCCTTCTTCTGAGTCTGCTGGAACATCTTCCCGCAGCTGCGGCACTTCTGCTGATTGGCTGCCCGCGTGCTGCGACAGGAGCAGTTCCCGCAATATTGTTGTCGCTGGCCCTGTGAATCCAGCGGCGGCGCTTTGAAGAATCCTTTGCAGCTCTTGCAGGTGAACCATCCTTCACGCGAGTTCTTAACTCCCCTCTGCTTGATTCTCTCCTGGCACGAGCTGCAAACCACATCTTCTGCCGGCAGTGTGACCATGGAAGCTTCGAACTCGGCCACGGGCTTGCTGGATTTGCAGACGGTGCAAGTGAGCGCCGTTGCAGCTCGGAGGCAGGGCAGGCACCGGCGCTTGGCCTCAGCATCCTGCTGATTGAGCTGGGCACGTGGAAAAGCATCTTCTATCTTGGCTCTCTTGCAGCCGCTGCAGACGAAGCTGGCCGAGCCGCCAGAATACTTGCGCTTCGGCGGTCCTGGTTTCGGCTTGCCTTTGTTGGTGCACGCTATGCAGGTGGCGGGCTGATTGGAGCGTACCCGCGACCATTCTGCATCATAGAAAGCTTGCACGGCTTTGACAAGCCGACACTCCTTGCAAGTTGCAGTTGGCTGCCGCGCTTCGCGATAAGCCGTCCAGTCTATCTCCTGTCCTCTCAAGCTCTCCAGCAGAAGCTTGGGCCCTTCGGCCGCACCGCGTTGGAAAAGCCACAACGGAAAAGGCCTCATGATCAGCACGTCGTGCCGACTCCTCACGCGGCTGGCTGCCACAGTGCCCAAGGCGGGATCCGTGCGCTTGTCGATGTTGAGGTCCAATAAAGCTGCCGCAAGGGTCTTGCCTTGACTGGCATGAGCCGTGATGGCGAAGGCGGGCACCAAGGGAATCTGCTGGCGCTTGACTTTCAGCACAGGCTTCTTTCTCTTCGCATCCAGAAACCAGGCACGCTTCTTCAGCTCCACGGGGTACAGCCCAGGTTCGGAGGCCCCGTCCAGCTGCCACGACGCTTTCTCGAATTTGACGTACCTGAGAAGCAAAACACGTCGCATGCAGCAGATTTACAATCGCGAGACACGGGTTCCAGGCTACAGAGGCTCTTTTATAAGAAAACCCATTGGCTGCCAACGCTTGTCCAAGCAAGGCTCACGACTTTGGGCTGCTGGTTGTTCTCGGGCCAGAGCCAGGAGTGCACGCGGCCCACGCGGCCCCGCAGCAGGAGCTTGTCCTCGGAGCGGTCGAGGTGCTGGGTCAGGGCCACGGGCATGCCGATGGCCAACGGCAGCATGCCACAGAGGTCGGCGGTATCCCGGTCGTGGTACTGCAGCCACCGGATCTTCGCCGCCTTGTCGCAGTCTGCGGCCTGCAAGGCCTCGTTGCTGGCCAAATCCAGCGCCACGGAGAGGCGACACTCTGTCTCCGCGGACTGCGCATAGGCCTTGGAGCGGTCCTTGTTGATTTGGTACTTCGCATCGTTGTTGGCCACGATGACGGGCGCCTCCACGAACTTCTTCTCCGATAGGCGAGGATCTGATGCCGATAGGATGACCCGGCGCCGGTATGCCCGCTCCTCGCGGCTGAGCGTGCAGCCCTCCACCGGCAGGCCATGCAGATATTTCCAGTTCGTCT